GTCGTCGCCGTTGAGGAATCCGCGCCCACGCCGTCTCCTTCCGTTGTCGTGCCGCCCACGCCTTTCCGCGCTAATAAATATCGAGCCACACCTTGTGCCGCCTCCCTATCTTCCGCTCCAGCGCTGCTGCCATTTCGCCGAGTCACCACACCGCCGCGAACCCTAGCGCCGTCGCCATTACTATCCTCCAAGCCATGCGTCGTGCCTCTTCCGTGCCTCCACCACCGACGCTAACTTCCGTGGTGAGTTCGCAGTCTTGCCCTCTTTCCCCTGTGCTATTCCTATCGCGAACCGAGGTCTATAACATCGTTTGGCGAAACTCCGGTGAGGTCCGGTCATGGCACCGTCGTGACACCTGCCCTGGCCACTGTTCCGGCCGGCAGCCTCCTCCCTCTCTCTTCTCGGTATTATTCGAGCCGTCCATCTCTGATCCAGTGGTCCAGATCATCCCGTACCCCTTCGCAGGCCATCTTGCTAAAGAGCCCCTCCAATTTTCTATTTTCAAACCCGCGGTCCAAAGCGCAATCACAGATTACATTTTCTTCTTTGGAAAGCGTAGTTTCTTCGGTTTAGATCTAAAATACGTTTTCATTTATTTTATAGTTTTGCCACTAATCTTGTTTTAGCCATAAAATTTCCATTTTAACTCCGATTTGACCCGTTCAACTTGCGTTAGGTTTGTAATTTCATAATCTATATGTTCATACTACTGTTAGATATGTTTTCAACTTTTAAAATTCGAGGTTAGATTTAATCTATTATTTTAGTAAAGAAAACCTTGTTTAATTCATATCTTCTACGTTTTAGCTCTGAATTGACCTGTTCAAGTTGTGCTAGATTCATTGCAACGAGATCTACGCGTTAGTAACAATATTTATCATGACACTATTTCTAGAATTTCATGGTTTAAATCATATCTTGATTAATAATTATGCAACTGGATTTTATAAGTAAAATATAATTTGTTTGACTTTAGTTCTATAATTCAAATCTAAATTTGGATTTAAAAATATTTAGATAATTCTATGGAGAATCCTATATATGTTTTATAATTAAAATAAATAAAGCTTAAAGCTTTCTTTTTAATCTTTCGGTAGTTGTATCTTTTTCACCGTAGCTCCGATTAGAGTGCTTTTCGTGTCTGTGTGTTCGTAGCGAGACGTAGATTCATTTTACAAATTTATCATCTTGATTTTATATTTGGTGTACTGTTCTAATTTAGATCTATTGTTTGCTTCGTGTATGATTGCATGGATGCTTATGTGGTGCTTTATGATCATGTCTAGTCGGTGAGCTTTGCGTTGGTGATATAAAAGAAGTTGGTCATCCAGAAGAAATCCTTTGGAGGTTACAATTCAATAGAAGAAGGATTTGAGTTTAAGGCAAGTATAGCATGGGATCATCCTTGTTGTCCTATACACCTTTAATCATTTAATTCATACTGCATTTGTCTACCTTGACTACCACTAAGGATTTCCTAGTAATTTGTACTTGTACCTTGATGTCTTTGAGTTATTGCATTGGGTAGTTTTGCTAGTGCTCAACCACAACCATGATCTTGTAACTTGACTAATGGAATATGCAATAAACGTTAAAAGATATTTTTTAGCAATATGGAACAAGGGGGCTAGAGCATTGGGCTATTTTATGGTGCTCTAGATTCCTCTTTCTAAGGACTTATCTATAAGTGATCATCCGAGACTTATAGTACAACTGTGAGGACAATATGGCTCTAGCTTTAGCTTAGTATGAGGACATTTTCTAGCTTGTTAGTGGTTATCTTTATGACGCAAGAGGGGCTCCGATTTGTATGATCTCGGCCTACCAAGAGGGTGCACTTTGGTTTCTTGGTATTTTGTTAGTCACTCCTTGGAGGAGGGCTCATGCTTATTGATGGGGAAACCTTAGCGGTCCTAACTTGTTAGACGAACCTTTAAAATGCTTCATAGTGAACTCTATCGACCTTCCTTGGTAGTTGGTCAAGGGGCTGATCACCTCGGGCGAAAGGGTAAATCATGACTCACATTGAAAATGTACAACCTCTGCAGAGTGCAAAACTGGTATATCAGTCGTGCTCACGGTCACGAGCGGCCTTGGAACATTTACGGAATAGATGATAAACACTGATGATACTGATGATAAAGATGCTCATTAATGGTTAATTGTTTATGCTATTCATTATTCATGTTTACCTGATCATGTGTTTATGGGCTTGTGATAAACTTGTTGCTACTCCTATGCTAAAATTGTGATAATTAAAAGCTAATCGTAGTTAAACCAGTGTCAGCCTTTTGAGCCTCATGAACCCCATGTTATATTTGTTGAGTACGACATGTACTTACGCTTACTTTATTTTTCAATTATTTAGAAAATCCCGGATGGGTACCAGATTGCTAGTCTGGAGGAGTTATGCTTTTGATCAACCAGTCAGTTGTCCCTGTGGAATTGGAGTCTTCACCCGAAGATCAGAGTTGTCTTTCCGCTGTTTGCTATCTAAGGTTATATTCTTTATACTAAGTACGTTATATATTAATCATTGTCTATTGATATTACCCTTATTTATAGCTATATGTGAGATTTGACTTCCTGGGCTCATATATGGTGTATATCTGGTTTTGTCCTTAAAACCGGGTGCTGTAAACCGGTCCAACCTGATCAATGGGATATCCATGAAACACCTCTTTCATGGTGTTGTGGAATGTGTTCAAGAAAACTATATTATGGTTCAATATGGCATCATGAATAGATTTGTTTACAGCCTCTATGAAGAAACGTCTATCTTCAGCTTCGTCTGTATCTGACTGCCCATGCAACAAAACTCTTGGTAGTGGATATTTCTGAACAACTTTATTATCACGTGTCTTGGTGTAGGACAATAAACACTTGTTCTAAAATTCTTCTATAGCTTTACTGATGACATCTTTATCCTCATTAGGTAGGTCTTCATAAGGCACCATAAGGATATCACTGTTGTTGTGAGTTGCCATGACGATTGTGGTGTCCCACCGGGCCTGCCAGAACGTGTGTCGGCGCAAAAACATGTCAATGCGCCTGGCACACAGCAAGCCGAAAAGATCTGCTTGATGGAGCAAGGCTGGAGACCCGCTTGGCTTCAACGTAGGACCAGTCGACCCTGCGAATTTTCGAAGACGTGCTAGTCAATTTGACCTGCAATTGACAAGGAGAGAAAGTTTATCAGTAATTTAAGGTGGAACATGCCGGTCTTGCCTAGACAGTTCCAAGTATGCCGCTTCGGGAGCAGCCAAATGGAAAAATCAACTAAACAGCAGATACGCGAAGAAATCGGCTATTAAGGACTGTAAAGCTCGTGGGTTGCGATTAATTTTATGATGACAATTACAATGCACGCAGATATAAATAAAATCATCAGCTAGGTGGATATTACCAGTGTAAAGTATTGAGCCGATGAATCTAACGAGAAAAGATATAACATGCAAACAAATCGACCGTTTGGTACAAATGGATCTACAAACACTCTGAATCTAATCTGTTACTATCAACAGTGAGATTCGACCGGATCGATGACAGCTATGATGATAATAACAAACTAAAACCGAAGAATCCATAACACCGTTTATACATTGACAGGTTTTCTGAAAGACATGCTATATGTGTGAAAGCACAAGTGAATCGACTAAAATAGCCGATTTAGATAGAAAAGGGACTACAACGTATGAACAATTGACTATTTAATATGGACGGATCTATGAACTCATCAGACCTAACCTGTTATCTTTAATAGTGGGGTTCGATAGTATCGATGATAGCCGTGATAAAGACAACAAATCAACCCTTTAAAATAAATAGATCTGTTCATATTTAACAGAATCATGGAGACACACTGTAGGAGTTAAAGCACAGACGATCGGCTATTTAGCCGATGCGGGCATAGCGAACAGCCAAAGTCATGCCTGGTCGAAAGCAAATCTATCAGCTAGCATCCTCCGATCTAAAGTACTAACAGTGGGGGTCGACCGGATCGATACATCCATAATAACGAGCTATGAACTAGATTCAACTAGCTAGTAAACTTTCTCAAGATCAGACATGTTTTGACCACATACTATGCACGACCAAAATCGAAGCAGAACGGCCGATGAAACATAATCTGTCGTTTAAAGTTAGAACCGTCACAATATAACAAAATAAACGATGGATTAAAAGGATGTGAGGCCGATCTAGATAGATGTCGATCGGGCAAGTTGATATTGCTGAAAACTAATGACAATAAGATCATCAGCAAGATCGGTAACTTAATAAATCTACCAGAAGGATGCCACCTTTAGGTAGAGCCGATAACTTGACCCTAATCTAATTTGAGCAGTGGAGGTCGAACTTAACCGATGCAGCCGTACTTGAACTAGATAAGAATCGATAACTAACTTATGCTAGAGCTCGTAGTGGAGGTCGAACTTAACCGATGCAGCCTTACGAACATAAGTATAAGTCATGACGGTACTTACGGATAAGCTGGAGGTCGGCCAGACCGATGCATCCTTGCTTGTTGAAGAACTCGTCGAGATCTACACTACTCCTACTCCTAAGGGTTGACGTGAAGTCGAAAAAAGTAATTGGTATTGATTGATTGGATGTTTTTACAATAGCCGGGGTCCAATATTTATACCCGGAACCTAAGCATGAATCTTACTAAGTACGACTCATTATAATGTATGGTATAAAAGAAAAACATTCGTAACTTAAGATAACTTGGACCCTAATCTTTCTTTTTTTTTAGAATCCGATATTTTTCTCGACTCAACCGTAGCTCATTGACGTTATCCGCTGATGTCATTCAAAGAGAGCCGATCTCAGTGCCACATCTGAATCAGCTGATATCAATCCTGACGTAATCAATTCCTTAATGACTCAATCTTGAAAGTTTCAAGTTTCCCTGTTCTTCGTGCTAAATTTTGGTGCAAACTACATACACTTTCCGGTCCTCTAGCTACACGATCGCAACCTTTGCTCGTCGGCGATCATCAGTCACGCTCCGATATCTCGGTGAAGGTGATGGAGTTGCGCGTCGTCTCCTCAGACGACAGCTGGGACGACCGCGCCATGATGGAGGTCAGCAGTGTCGACGACGTGGCCCTGCTCCTCATCTTCAGGTCTCCAAAATCCCTGATCACGTCGGGCTTGCTGATCATCTCTGTGCCCAGGTCGGCCTCGCCTTTCAGCATGGCGACCACCGTAGACATCCCTGGCCGCCGTTTCGTGACGTCTTGGGTGCAGAGGAGCCCAACCTTCAGAAACCTGCAGGCTTCATTGACGTCGAGGTCATCGCCCAGGGAGCTGTCTATGATCTTCTCCAGATCCCCCCGGTCGTAATATCTCCATGTCTGCAAAAGTATAGAAGTGATTTGTTCAGAAATGCAGTTTGAAGCAACCACTTTCATGGAAAGTGTCTTTTGTCTTGTCTGTACTAGTAGAATCCCGTATATACCTTCTCAAGGAGAATCTGGTCATCGTAGGGCAATTTCGTATCAGTGTTGCATCTTCCACTCACAATTTCGATAAGCAGAACGCCATAGCTGTAGACATCTGCCTTCCGCGTAACTTGTCCTCGAATTGCATATTCAGGAGCCAAGTAACCTCTGCGAGCAAAACTACAGTGTTAGGTACCACACAAACCATGTCTGAGTGATCAAATACTAGTTTGGTTTCATTCTTTCCATTGCACTCCCTGATTAGATATTTAGATCAACAGACCCTCTTGAAGTAACTGTCACTGGACAATTGTAGCTGCCAATGCCTCTCACAACTAAGTTTAAAGGATCATCAGAACTACAATTGGAGTATGTGGATGGAGAACACAAAGTAGTAAAAGAAACATCCATCACAGTAGAGGAAATAACAATAGTAACTTTCACTTACAGGGTCCCTGCGACTCTTGTGCTAACATGTGATACATCCGGAGGTAGAAGCTTTGCCAGACCAAAATCAGATATTTTTGGTGTGAGATCCTTATCGAGAAGTATATTGCTTGCCTTGATGTCGCGGTGAACAATGTGGGGGCGGACACTGTCATGGAGGAAAGCTAATCCTTGAGCAACACCAATGCAGATATTTACCCGAGTTCTCCAGTTGAACTGGATGTTGCTATGTCCCGAACCTATAGCACGGCAAGCACGGGAATGTTACAGGATGTAAACATTTTACCTTGCTAAAAGGATATTACTCCAGAAAACAATATTCAGAATTCAGTAAAGAGAACTACCTAGAAGGATATGTGCAAGACTATTATTTTCAAGATAATTGTAAACAAGGATCCTGTGGTTTCCTTCTACACAGCACCCATAGAGTTTGACAAGGTTCTCATGTGCTACATCAGAGATTGCAAGAAGCTCATTAAGAAACTCCTTTGCACCTTGTCTAGAATGTAAAGACAGAACCTTTACGGCAATAGCTGTTCCATCCTTGAGTGTTCCCTGAAGTGGTAAGTTAGAAAGGTTTTAAACACCAGTAATGCATTCTGGTCCTTTATCAAATTGGAAGTAGTTATGCTACTACCTTGTAGACAGGTCCATAACCCCCCTCACCAATCTTATTGCTTTGGTCAAAATTTGATGTGGCTCTAACCAGTTCCCTGTAGCTGTATCTTGTTATATTCTCAGAACCAGTGAAATCTGCAGAAATAAGTCTAAGTGTCATGAAGGAAGGCAGATTCATTAAAAGCAGAAAACAAGTATACTACTTTTGAAATGGTGATCTTTTTACATAACTGTAGGCATAAGAGATCTTACAATCGTTAGATGGATTGTCTTGTTGGTGTGGCCCCCTTTTCCTCTTGAAAAAGTGAGCAAAACAACTCATTCCTGACGTGTTTCAAACTACCGGTGCCCACCGTCGTGCAGTGTATCATTTAACTGAGATGGCAGTCCACTATCCTGAAACATGAGGGCATGAACAGAGGCTCTGCTTATGCAAGAAATAGCAGTATACACAATACACTAGGCAACTTGCAACAATAAAAAATGAGAAAAATTTGTGCTTAGCAAAAATGGAAACCTAAGGAAAAAGCCAGAGACTGAATGCTACTAATCACTAGAAAGTGTATATCCTTTTCTAAAAAAACTAGAAAATGTATATGGGCAAAAATTACTTTCCCACAATTGCAGTAGCAGGAAAGGATATCTATGTATGCAGTACTGTATGTCTGTAATAACGAAAACTTATCAGAACCCGCTAAAACAGTACTGATGTGATATGTGCATTCCAGTTAGAAAACAAAAGATATTTTCTTTGTTTGTTTTGGCATTCCAGTTGAGGGGGGAAGGGGGCAGAATAGTAATCTATAGAACAACAGGAGTGTCCAAGCATGTTAAAATCTCAAAATAGAGTTCTCAGAATAAATCTAACCAAAGAGCCAAAGAGATGCTGTTGCAAAAAGAAATTGTCTTGAGTTACATAAGTTATGTCCACGCACACTATTTTTCTATGCTGTACAAATATCATAATCCCACCTACTAGATTCCTAAGTTCCGTTGACCATATAAGGGTTTTTTTGGCCAAGGAGTGGACATTATTCAAAGTACACTTGAAGTATGAACAGGAGCAGGAAAACCACTGATACGCAAAGCAGCGGCTCATCACCCATATCCTACTGTCGATTCACAAAAGGAACTCGCACATCAGCAAAGGCTAATTGATGGCCATTGATTGGAGACGTTGGTATTTCACTTGTGGTACTAATTCAAAGCAGTGGTTTCATCACCCGTATTCTATCATTAGATAGCACCGATTCGGGTGGCAATAATTCAAAGAACCCTTTTTTTACGAGGAGTTGACCACATAATTCAAATGCACTTCAAGTATGAACAGGAGCAGGAAAACCACTGATGCACAAAGCAGTGGTTTCATCACCCATTCACCTGTATCGTATGTTCATTCACAAAAACAAACTAGCACCGCAGCACAGGCTACATCATTTAGCCTAATTGATGACCATGGATCGAGAGTTGGTATTTCGCTTTTAGTATCAATTCAGGTGGCAACAATAATACGATCAAACACGGTAGGCTAGGCCCACTACAGCCTTTGTCTAATTCAAAATATCTCCTATAATAGTTAGATAGGCATCAACATCAGACTCCTTTCCTAACACACCAAACATACTTTGGAGAAAAAGGAGAAAAAAAATACTCCATACACGGTTCATTCTTTTCAATAAACAGCGAAGAAGACAACCCACCAAAGAAATGCTTCATCAGTAGACAAAAGATGTATGAGTATTATTTATTACTCACAACTATGAGTATGTGTGCAACCTGTACGTCAGTGCTTATCTAACTGATTGTTGTGAGCAATAAATAATACAACGTGCAGCAGCACAGCAACGGATTGCAGCCCATGGTACAGAATAGTGACGAATAGAAATACTAGTACTATACATATGCGCTGGCATCCGATCCAATTGATTACTGCGAGCGACTAATGCATGATTGGCTTCAATCTGCACATTTGTACTGTGCATAGAAATCCCGGCATGGCGTGGCGATTTATCGGAAGCTGACAATTATGTGCAACTGACAACCAGAGTTGGGATCAGAACTAAAATTTCTTTGCTAGGCTTTCTGTCCAGAATATATCAGGTAATCTAGTGATTGATCCTGAGTTAGGCGGCGTTGTTCGATCAGAGACACAAAACCAGCGTTTGAATCGCCCACTAACCTCGTGCCCAAACAAGGATTCACGCAACCGGTCGACAAGACAAGATAACGCAGCAAGGAAACAAAAGGCGAGAGGAACCCAACGAGACGGCGAGACTCACCTGAAGCGCGGCGAGAGGCGAATCCAACCGCCAAACCACAACTGAACTTGCTCAAGCTTGGTGATCCTGACAGGGCAGCCCGGGCGGTTCCAGTCCCGCCGTGGCACAAAACCGCCGAAATAGCCCGCCGCAGCAAGTAGCCCCGGTTCGCCGGAGGCTCTCGGCTCCGGCGCCGCCGCACGGACACAGGCGGAGAGGGACGGGATCGAGTTAAATGTGGCAGCTTTTTTCTTGGGCTTGGAAGTTTCTCTGGCTTCTGCAATGCGGGACGGATGGGAGAGAGGACTAGAGGACAGGGAAGGCATGTACTCGTATATACTACTACTACGAGGCCGCGGGCGCAGTCAAGCCGTTGACTCGGCGAGGGAGCAGGCGGGCGGGCGTGCAGATCGGCCGGGGGCCGGGACGCGGGCTCGGGGACCGGATCGGTGTGTCTCGGCGGCCGGGCCGCGTCACTGCGGGGGCCACCGCGGAATGCCCTCCGGTTTGGTGAGCTGGAGCTTGGACTCGGCTGAGACGAGTTGAGATTGACCTCACCATCACCAAGGAGACGAGTTGTCCCTCTCATAAAAAAAAAGGAACGAGTTGTGATGATCACCCTGTTCGGCTGCACTAGTTGCGGTTGAATTCTGCTACTGCTACAGTTCAAATTCAAACACAGCAATTAATGCAATTCAAACTTGTGGCAGCAGCCAATTCAATTCAAATTCCAGCGGGAATGCAAAAATGGCACCAAAGCATGTGTCCAGTTACATAACAGTTCAATACCACCATCACAGCCATTCCAACTGATGTATACAGTCTGCTATATCATACATACAGCATAAGTGGACCCTTACAAAACTTGTAGCCCTTGGGAGCCACACATCAAACTGCTAGAAGAAGGGTCACATCTGCAACCTTCTTCTAGACAAATGGCCACTACAATGGTTCAATAGTTGTCTTAACCAAATATAATTTCAAATGTCTACAGTCCTCTACATCTTACATGTAGCAATACAACAATTGCAAAAGCTGTACCCATTTCAAGGCACATATGAAACAGCAAGAAGATCAAATCCATCCATCAAGCTCTAGGAACCCAACCATCAATCTTCTTCATGCCATCCTCTGCTCCCCGTGCACCATGTGGGCGCTACGGGAGAGAGGCGGGCCATCCGTGGAGCAACTCCAAATGGCCCCCATGTGGAACGCCGTGCTACCGCGCTAGCTTGATCAGCTCCAGCGCTACTTGTGAATGTGGGATAAGGATAGCAATCCTATCGTCGTGCTATCGCGTTTGGAACAGGGATAGCGATCCTATCCTGCAGATATTTTACTCAACGTCTACATATATAAGATTCTACCATAGGTAGAGGCGTGGGTATGTCACTTCATTTGTGGTACTTAAAATACAAAGGATTTCATCTATTCAAGTGGTAATCTTACTTGCTGGCAGGTAACCGTGAGTATTATATCTGACAGGTGTGGACACGTGTGCATAATGTTACTTGCAGGTATAAATTTTTTTTCGTTATAAGCAATTTATCGCGGACAGATATTTAGTCCATACGTAGTTTACTCGACCTGTTACCATCCCTAGTTAGTAAAGATAGGACATGGACTAGAGTTTTCTGTGTAAGCGTCAAGCAACACATCTGCTCATCAGATTTCTTCAAAACTATCTTGTATCAATACATCTATAGATAGAATTCTGGATACTGGATAGAAATTCGCTTATCTTATAATCCGTCTTTTTCAGCTTGTTTTTTTTCAGCCGTAACAGTGTTTTTCTCTTCACAACAAATCAGTCGGAACAGTGTTTCGGCTTTTTTTCAGCGAAGCGAACGGGGCCGGGACATGGTCACATGGACAAATCAGGAATGGGTGGCTACGCAAAATGCAATGGGTGAAATGTTCAAAATGTTGAATGTATAGATATAGCTGAAAGCAGCTCTGCAGAGGGCAGGTCAATTTGCAGTTGCTATTAGCTGCTTCCGGGCCCTGCCCAGTCTTGCTCCGACTCCGACCCTCGGAAAGGACACGGTGACACACTGCAATGAGGCGATCGAAATCGAAGAATACCACGCATGCGGAGCAAACCGTCCATTCTCCGGCCATAGGTTTTCTCGCGATTATTCATTTCATGACGAATGGCCCTTTTTTTTGTTGTTGTCTTCTTCTTCTTCTTCTTCTTTGCAAATTACATGATATATAAACGCAGATATCTATATGAGCACAAATTTACACTCATCTATATGAACACATGGTATTTATAAGCCAAAAAATACAGCACGCGTGGGCGTGGATTTTTTGACCAATGTGAAGCCAATTTCAGTAGCAGTAGTGGTATGCTATAGGAGTATATATATATACAGTAGATTGATATATACACGTGACGAGTGAAGCACGTTTCCAGATGGTAATAAGGTACTAGAGCTTCTAGAAAACAATCGTCCATTATAGGTAATTAGGTATATAGGCAATGTAGGATATTGACGCCTTTATTTGGAGTGTCCGGCCAAACTAAAAATCATTCACCCTTTCACACTAGTTAACATGCATCCACGCGTCGGATTAATCTAATCGACAACACGAGCTGTTGCATCATGTCATGTGCGTATTACTAAACTGGTGTGTTTTTACATTTTCCTAACAATCTCGAAGGTGACGTGACGCAATTGATAAGCCGGCATGTGCTTATGTGATGGGCTAATGGCTGAAGTCCCCTTGAAAACAAGCATAAACCAATGAATAATAGTATCGGCGACAACTATCATCCCAACATGAAACGCGGTTTCACCTGGCGCGATATGTAAAGCCGCACTAGTAATACCTCTTACATTATTATTAGGGGTGCTGCTCAGCATCTCCAAAGAGTTTCCAAAACCCGCTCATGATATAGATTTTTTGGCAAGATTGAAAAATGCTTCCCAACAACTCCCTATCTCAACTCTGAATCTATCCGTACTTGGGCAAATCAATCGAGGTGCGCGGAAATATACGTGCACGTATCGATCGGGCAGTCTAGATGTGGAAGGACATGGAAAGAATAGAGTTTTTGCACGTGGTTCCCAATGCAAATGTGTACAACAGACAAAGAAAGTATAAAAGTGACTGCAGTGATTTAGAAGTAATTCGGGATTCCTGATGTAAAATTGTTTTCTATATTTTAGGAGCGAGATTTGAAAAACTATTGGAGGAACCCAACAAATATACTCTCAACTTTTTTAGTCACTTGGAAAACTCATTAATTTATCAATTATTTTTTTAGAACTATTGCTCTCCAAACAGCATGAGTAAATTTTGTTCACTATTAATCCCTAACTTATTTTGGTATGCCATCTAAGTCCCAAAATTATTGATTTGCATATCTAAATCCCTAAACCTGTTAATTATGCCACTCCAGGTGCAGCAAATGCCATTAATTGACACGTGGTTGCCTATGTGGCGAGTCAGCATGACCATCTATAAGAAAGACATGATTTTAAGGGATGGCATGTGGGTCCTACTAGAACTTTTATGCTTTTCATTGGATATGATGTGTCAAAAACACTGATATGAACCGTGAATTAGTGATGACATCATGTACATGCTAAGTAAACAGATTCATACTAATAGAGATGTCTAGATCTCTAGTCCCATTGTGGTTTTCCCTTACCATTCTTTATTAAATTAAATATAAGACAAACACGAGACACCTGAAATTAATTAAAGGAGGAGCCATCACGGGAAATAATTAAATAAAAAACAAACTCTAGAATAAAAAACATTTACTTCTTCTGTGAAAAAAAAAACTTGTCTAGGTTTAAAGCTAGAACTAATTTTTACTACATCCAAGATAATGACGACGACGAATACACGAGTGGATGACGTGTCAGAGTCGTAGCACGCGGCGTTTCCAGATGGTTAAGCTGACTGATATCCAAGAGAGCTTCCAGGAACGAAGGCGATGGCCGATAGATGTGGACGTACGCCTTTGGATCGAGTCCGGCCAAACCATCTGGTTTAGACTTTACTTGCATATAAAAATATAAATATATACTAGTATACGTTGCTGTCACCTCCGATCCTTTTCGTGCCCATAAATTTGTTAGTGGCAGTCGTATCATCTTATACTAGCCAACGGTCTGCGGATTAATCAGATACCATGTCGTCCTTTCGGTCAGCGTTTTACTTTCTCCATTTAAAAAAAAATATGTATAAAAACAGAATAAACTTAAATTTGAAACGGAACGGAGGGAGTAAGTGCCTGGTGGCTGCTGCTTCTGAAATGAATCATTTGATGGTCGCTAATCAGCAGTACGCACTGCTTCATTGATGAGCAGGATCTATCAATGGTCGTGGTCGACTTTTCACACTATTTGACATCTACTTTTTAGCGAACTTACAGTATTTTTTTCTTAGAATAAATTAGCATAAGCCAAATTTCAACGAAACGAATAGGGTATGCTAAACATAGTGTCGGCTTCCCAGCTGAGCTAAGGGCAATCCCAATGCTAGAAACTACTATACTTATTAATTTATATAGACACTACATATAGAAACCATGGATAGTTTCTACGGAATAATTTTTTATCCAATCACATACGTTCTCTCTCCATTCTCTACCAATCGCATTCCTTCATGTCTTGATTCTCGTGTAGATATGGTTTTTAACTTAGACCCGATTTCTATGATTTTTGTCATTCTCTTCAATAACTACCTCGTTATATCAGCAAAACGCTTAGATGGTAGTATAACTAATATTCATAGAAACTATGATGGTTTCTGCATTGAGAGTGCCGTAAGCTAGCAAAGGTCCACAATGTCCTGCTGCAACCTCCAGCTACTCCAGCAGTTGCTATTGCTGCTCCCCCGGCCACAAGCAGTTTGTCTTCTCTTCTAGAATGTCGTCTCGCTCTCGGAGAGACGAAGAGAGCACTTCCTTACTCGTTCCGGTCTTACTTGATCCTGGCGTCAGAGCTTGCTCGATCGGACAAGAGAGAGACAGGCGATGACGATTCTGAATTCCAGCGTGCAGACGGCATGCAGCCTCTCCGTCTTCAGACAATGGCATGGATGGTGACCTTGCAGTTTTCTTGTGCAGACAATGGCACGGTGGACTCGTTTGCGGTGGTCTTCTTCAACGACTGTTTCTCGGCTTCCCTAGCTAGCATGATAGAGCTGTCTATCACTAACGGCGACACGTACAGTATATCTCGTACAAAGGTGCAGTACTACTACGTGTAGAGATTCATATACGTACAGTCCACAAGGAGCCTGAATTGACTGAAGATAAGTTCTCTCATGTCAAGGGCACCACGGAGTTGTGCTCTTTTGCTGTCACGGCTTGACGGTTACATTGCACACTGGTCAAAGCTACGCCTTTCCTCTTCGAAAACTAAAAAGCTACTCTCTCCGTCCTAAAATAAGTGCACGTCTCATTTATCAAAAAGTTAAACTTTCCTAAATTTGAATAAATATATAGAAAGAAACACTAATATCTATGATGTGTACTAAGTATCATTAGATTGGTTGTGGATTTCATAATAAATTTATTTGGATATATAAATATTGATATTATTTTCTCTATATTTAGTCAAATGTCAAAGAGTTTGACTCCTCAATAAGCGAGATGTGTACTTAATTTGGGACGGAGGGAGTATGCTTTAATTTCGCTTTGCCTTTTTTTTAAAATAGGAGATGGTGATGATAGAAAAAAAAAAGTTGTGGCATAAGTTTTTTGTTTGTTGGGCAATCCAGCTGAGACAAATTGTTGTGGTCATAAAAAGCTCTTTGTTGAAGTTGAGAGCTAAACAGTTCGGTTATTATTGGGCTCTGTTTCTCACTTTCTCGGCCTCCCTGGGTTGAAGATATGTTGTCGCGTGTTTTCTGGGCTTTGTTGCAAAATGAGGAGGACAATAGCAAAGTGGTTTCAGCTGGTAGAGAAAGAGAGGAGAAATTCCGCCAAGCATAGGTGGAGATTAATTAACATGATTTGCATATTTGCTGAACGATGCCTTTTGTCTGCTCTGATGTGAGCTGAAACCATGTCATAAGTGTCGGCCACATACGTGTGGCCTAGCACAGGTGGGGAGGCTAGGATTTTGTTTTACTTCGGCCTTGTTCGCTTGAACTTATCAAATGCTGCGTCTCAATGATGTATGTAATGTTTTTCTCACACAACAAATCAAGATTAGATCAAGATCAAGATCACCGTTTTTCTAGGAAATCGCCTTCACCTTATATACTCCCTCCGCCTCAAATTAAATCATCTTCTAAAGTTGTCCTAAGTCTAACTATTTTAATTTTCACCAATTTTATAGAAAAGAGCACCAATATTTATTACACCAAATTAGTATCTCCAATACATCCTAAACTATATTTTTGTAATATATTTATTTTGTGATATAGAAATTATTACTCTTTTTTATAAAGTTGGTCAAACTTAAGATCAATGTTATCCTAATTGCTAAACGGTAAACAGTGAGTCACCCTTCGTTTAGCGTTTAGTCCGTTTAAACAACGTTGTTTAAGCGGAGTTAAACGACCTAAACGGTCGCGTATATTAACACTAAAATATACAAATTTATGTGCGTAAAAGTCAAATATACTAGAAAGTCTACATATTTACACATGTAAAAAGTAAGTATTCTACCGAATAATCTTTTTTTTGGAAGAAATCTAAATCCCACAACACTTCATATACTTACTATGCTAATTAGTTCGGTGTTTATTGTAGTAGTTGTAATCCTCCTATTGATTAAATTATGAATTAAATGGCCATTTAGCTCATTTAATCTCATTTAACTCGATTCTGTTTACACGGTTTTTAATGGTTTAAACGGTCCAACCATTTAGGGATTGATTTTTCAAGAGGGGGACAAAAGAACGTCTCGAATAACATTCTCCTCCTCCGGAGAGGATCAAATCTTTCGGGCCAACCCCTCAAAAAAAATCCAGGCCAAAATTACTGTTATGAATCTGGGCCGAACGTGCAGGCCCAAGAAGATCTGAGTGTTGCTCGGCTATGACACAGCCGGCCGGAAATTCCCGTGGGCTCTTCTTCTACCTTTTTGGGCCTTGTTAGATGCCTTTCCATTTGCCTTGGCACCGAATAAAAAAAAGGAAAAACTGGGGCGCGAAAGTACAGCCCGGCCCAACAAGAGTGCTTTTCCGCTTTTGCGTTCCGTGCCAAGACCTATGATGTTTGTCGGTGTCGGTCGGTTCGTGAGAAGGTACCGTTGGCCGGTATCAGGCGAGAAAAATACTGTTTCGACTGAAAACACTATTTATGTAAACAGTACCCGTACGAGAGAGGGCTGGCCAGCCAGCCTGCCGAACGGGCTGGCAGCTGAACCACACCACAGACCACAGACTAGCGTGAGCAAAGCACATTCATGTCCATGACCAACAAGTACGACTTCCTGTCAGATAGTACGTACTCCCACTCCTTCCTGCTCGTCCATTTCATCAGTCCACGACGTGAAAAAGAGGAGAAAATACTCCATTATCAGAATGACAGCAGGTGACTCTGAAGAATCGCATCGCATCGCATCGCATCACAGACCAGGACGGGACAAAGAAAGAAGGCTGAGCAGTGGTCAGTAAACGCCACACCGACAGTACTAGCATCATCATCGCATCGCGTTGCAATCCAAGCTCCGGGCACTCTACTACGTACACGTACGTACATACGCTGCGTTTGCAGCACACGCACACGGGCACACATACAGCCATACAGCCACATCTCCTTCCTATCAGCTACGTACACAAATCATCTCTGGCGCCTTCGCCGCTCCACAGCCCTCCTCGGTCTTTCTTCCCGGCCGCAGCAGGCGGGTCGGCTCGGCGGCGGCCGGGACCGGGAGCGAGCGCGCAGGCGGCGCCGGCAGGCAATCAAAACCCCGAGCACCGGCGCCGGCGCCGCGCTAAGCTAGAAACCCAACGAACCAATAAATAAAAAAAGAGGCGAAAAGGAAAACAAGGCCACGCTAGTTAAAGCCGAGCTGTCACGCTCGGTCGGTCGTCGTGCCAGCAGTCTCAGGGCGACTCCGACGAGGAGTTGGTTGACACGGTGATGAGCGTGGACGCCGACGACGACGACGTCCGCGGCGTCGCGGAGGGCTTCACCAGCACCACGGGGGTCTTGCTCTCCAGCCGGCGGTGGTGCTCCTGGACCAGCTGCTCCGCCACGGCGTCCAGCCGCTCGCCGTTGGTCTGCGCCATCAGCTTCTTGCCACGGAACAGCACCGACTCCACGCCCCGCTCCGCCAGCGCCGCCTCCGCCGTCTCGCCGGGCGTAATGCCGTTGCCCTGGATGCGGACGTAGTTGGTCGCTCTGCTCTCCCCGAACGCCATCGACACGGCCTGGTCAACCTGCGATCGAAACAAAACAAACCGCGAGAGGCGCACTGTCAGTCCTGTCCTGTCCGTTCGTTCGTTCCAACTGCTACCCTGCTCGAGAAATGGTGCCGGTCATGCAGGCAGGCAGGCAGGCTCACCATGTCGGCCTGGCAGGCTCCGGCGATGCGCAGGAGGCTGGAGGACGAGGGGCGACCCAGCGAGGAGGCGGCGGCGGGCGCGCTCCCGCCGAGGGACAGCACCACGAGGTCGGCCGCGCCGGCGGCGAAGGGGAACTCGCGCTTGTTGTGGAGCACGTGCGTGAGCGCCACGGCCGTCGGGTTCGCCACAGCGGCGGACGCTCCACCCCCGCCGGCCCCCGCCGCCCCCGCCGCGGCGTGCAGCCTGGTGCGCCCGTCCAGGGACGCCACCTCCGCGGGGCCCACGCCGCAGGCCGCCGCGCACACCTGCCACAGCGGGAAGTCGAACGCGTCGGCCTCCACGGCGTCGGCTCGGGAGAACACGAACGGCGCCGCGCTCGCCATGTCGCAGCACGGGATCAGCAGCGGCTTCGCGGCGTCGCGCACCGTCAGGTCGCCGAACACCTTCCGGAACAAGGCCTCGGGGCGGGCGCGCCGGAACGACATCGACATCAGGCCCCCGCCGCTCCCGCCGCGCCCCCCGGACAGGACCTTGCGGTTCTTGGCCACGAACTCGCGCGCCGCCTCGGCGGGCATCCGGCACGCGAACAGCGCCGCCGCGAGGAACCCGCCGGCCCCGGAGCCGGCGGCCAGGTCGAAGAAGTCCGCGACGCGCGCGGCGGTGTTGCCGGAGAGCTCCTGCAGGCGGCGTTCCAGGCGGACCAGCGCGGCTGCGGCGAGCGCGCCGCCGTCGGCGCCCCCGTCGATGGAGAGCACGCGGACGCGGCCCGCGGAGCACGCGCCGCCGCCCTCCAGCGGCGACGCGCCGAACAGGAAGTTGGACTCGAGGATGGAGAAGATCTCCTGGCTCAGGCGGTCGGAGCGGCCGCCGTTGTACGCCACCGCCGGCGGTGATGGCAGCTGCAGCGTCTGATGATCGAGCAGTGCGAGCGAGGTGGTGGCCATTGCGTGCGTGCGCGACGTCGGTTTCTTGGTTGCTCTTCTGGCCTCTGGCTCTGGTCTGTCGGCACCTGGAGCTGGATTGGGTCGCGGAGGGAGAATGCGATTGATGATTGGGAAGGCAGGTGAGTGAGGCTGAGGTGAGAGTGTGCGGCATCGTCTTCCCGGCAGAATTTATACTGGAGCCTCCCGCCACGGCGCATGCTAGTGGCTCGTGCCCATTCACGCTGCTGGAGCCGCGTGTCCTTTTCTGTCCTCGCTTCACCACTGGATGCTTGGGTTATTCAGTTGGTGATGTGTTTTTATTGTTTTCCTTCTTTCTTTCTTTTTTTCATCGCTTGATTGATGGACAATCTAAGGCCCCTCTACCTTTTTTTGGAGAACAAGGTAACGAACCTTAGTTAGTGCGATGTACTTACCTCGGAGAACTAGTGAAAGCAACATTAACAATGCTGGGAACAAATTTCAACACCTAATACAATAGATGTCAAATAGAAATATACTCATTAAGATTGAGTTGTTGTGCTGTACTATGATTTACAAAAATAAAAGGATGAGGAAAAACTACGGATGTCCCAACACTTTGTATAAACCTGCAACCGCTACCAAACAAAATTGATTCCAATGAGGAGAAACAAAGAAAAACCCAAAGATTCATTGGAATCAGAACTAAATTCTATATGAACTAGAAAGAACAGTTTCTTAGGATAATAATGGAATCAATCTCTCTTTAAAAAACTAACAAAAAGTGGCTCGAACAAATTGCATAGATATCATATTGTTCAACTATAGTTTTTTCTCGAATAGGCAGAAGATTTGTGCATCATTGTAATTAAGGTAGAAGAGTTTAACATAGAAATGACGTGCTGCTGTCAAGCGCCCTATGAGTTCTACAGGATTACAACCATAGGGTGAATTGTTCCAACTTAATTCAAGCTTCGATATTACAAGAATGATAGACAACTGAGATTTGGATAGCAATGCAACCGAGATTTGGACAGCAATGTTGTTCAACCATAGTACTACAACTTAATCACTAGCTTGATATTTGGAATCTATGACTTCGTCAATGTTTCTATCGAAATAGATGTTTTCCTTTCTTTTGTATCGATTTCGAGTTTTTCTTAATAATTACATGAGTGATGTATAGCAGAATAGGTATAAAGGTTTTTTTTTGCGTAATGACAGTGGAGGTTGATTTTTTCACATGTGTATGGGCACTTGGATTTTATTTCCTCCTATTAATATGGTAATTTCTAGGCATTGCGAAGTAATGTGGAGGCTTATTTTGTTGGATAAATACAAAGACAATAGGTATTTCTTCAAGAAGCCGATGAATCCTTGCCAAATACAAAGATATACATTTTGTTGGGCCTTTTTTTTGGTAAAGGAAACCTTTTTTTAAAACTAAAGGAAACATTTTATTAACTCAAGATAATTACCGAGTTGATACAACCTTCTTGAGATCACTTTCGACCTCCGCATTAAAGCACACGGCCTATAAAACATGGGCCTTATTAGGTATTACTACTAATAAAGGTATCATATTAACCCATCGATATCTTGTGAAACTTATATTTGGAGTCGAAGTTACAGCCCTCTTGTTTTGAGCTGTAATAAGAATATAAAGCAACTGTTTCTCAAAAAAAAAAAAGAATATAAAGCAACTGCCCTTGTTACTATTCTCTGATCTATCCCATGAAAGCGTGGCGTGGAGCAAATTTGTTGGTGCGTGCGTGCAGCTCAATGCTAGCCACTCCACTATATCAATATGGAGGACCTGAAAATGTGGAAATTACATGGTTCTAGCTAGGCTGGTTGTTAGCCCGAATAATCCGGGGCGAATGGCGATATGCATGGGACCACGCACATCTCCCTTTGTGTTGATGCAGGGGAAATGCAAATTCTTCAGCCGTGGGGCTTACTCAATGAGGATTAGCGAGAAACTTTGCGGACAAGAAAGTGCGGGCGACCTTTTGCCTGATCGATCCTTCCCCATTCGATCGTGCGCACATCGTCTAGCTCCCAGATCATATCAAAGCGAGCTACATGGCCCAAAATGTATATGTCCAGTCCATCTAGTACCTATCCTACGCAGAAGTTGGACCGCTTGTGATCTACACACATCCGTACGTGTCCTGATGATCGACGGGAGGTTAATTAATAAAAAGATAAATTAAAGAAGAAGACAACAAGCATTATACTTATTGTCGATGGAGGAGCATCTTGTTTCGTTCGCGACCCCATTGCAAAGCAAAGTAGCGCCCAATGATCGATTCCCCTCCGTTTCTCTCTCCCTCTCCTGAGAGTGGCTTAGCTTAGCATTAGCTCACTCACTCGATCACTGCTGGCTGGGCCCATGCATATGATTGCTTCAATTTCAGCTCCATTTCGTCTCATCTTGAGCTTTACTCAACCTTATTAGTAACCACACCAACCGCTACTGGTGTACTAGCTACTAGAGCTATTGCCAGCAGCTGCATGCCGCCATGGACGGATCGATCGGAGCTCACCATCATCTCCGCGCGCGCGTACGTACGTCCAGCAGCAATCTGGCCCCGGCGCGCGATTTCGATAGCTAGGCATGATCGATTCGGTGCGGTGATGGTGCGGCGGTGCCCGCCGGCCCAATCATTTGCTCGCAACGACGGAAACCCCACCCGCAAACCGAGTGGATGGAATGGATGGGTGCACCGGTGCATATGCATGGATTAGGATTATTATGGGGTAGGTGCCGGCAACCGGAATGCAAGCAAGCAAGGTTTGTGTGTGTGAGGGAGAGAGAGAGTGTGCCACTAGCCCTAGCACACTGCAATAGTTTTCTAGATCTAATAGTAAAATATACCAAGTGCTCTCAAATCATGTCATGGATGGCGCTTAATTGTTTCCTTGACGAACGAACGTATCCGTGATCATTGCAACTCTTGTTGCTTATATGCTTGCGTTGGTCGATCTTTTGCATGGTTCTTGATTTGCCCGGGGTTCCTTCGGTTATGTTGATTGGGAGCGAGAGATCATAATGAATGATGGAAAATAAAGGGCTTAATAAAGCAGCAAGGACGGACGGACGGACCCGACGCGAAAATAAAAGGTGTGTCCCTTGATTGTAAGGTAGGCACAAGGCGGGGGAACATGATGCTAACCCTCTTTGTTTAATTTAATTTATTCGTGGTGCTGTTCTGCTTTTGGCCGGGCTAGCTTACTGGACGACAAGGTCTTGCATATATCCGATCCTACCCTGCTTGTCCACCACAACACCCAGAGAATGAATGAGAGAATTTAAATGTGTTAGTATACACTATATATGCTAATCTAGTAATCTGGATTCTGAAGCAACTTTAAGCACACCAAAGGACTGAGAGGAGGTACCTACAACCAGGGCTTAGTTCCTGCCACTAGCTCTTTCCTTATTACCACTACCTCTTTTTGTTTGTTTGACATAGAAATCGATCTGAATGATTTGCAAGTGTGTGTGATAATAGTATAGACGTCGTGTACAAATATACATACCGGCACTAGATATTTTAGGAGAAATAATGGATGGCTTATAACAAAACAAATAAAGAAAATGCATGATTGGCGAATTGAATAGAACTATTGAGACTTTGGAGCCACATAATGATGCCAGCAGGGCGGGCCACAACAACTGTCAGATATCTGATGGAGATGCGATATTCAAGATGGCAAGGAAAACTATGCGTACTGCTGCATCCGTGCATGCAAATGCATGCACCACGACAAGGACCTCTCCTCTCCTGCTGCCGTCCGTTTGTTTGTTGAGCCATCCATCATCATCACCAGTTCATCACCCGTACTACAACACTTTATTTTTTATATTTACTTATCTATTTTTCTGAAACGAAAACTTATTTATTTATATAAAAACAAAACGCAAGTCCTCCTCAGATGATGCCAGCCTATAATAATCTATTTATATATTAATTATAACGTAATATGTGTAAATCGATTCCTGTCGGTTTGCCTGTCTCGTTCACATCCGCCTGTCTGCCGCTTGCTGCTCGGTTGCTCCTCCTGCTCTTGCCAGTGCATCCATCCTTCTTCCTTCCACGAAGCATCCATCCACCACACGGATCCGAGCCAGCAGACAGTAGTCTGCAAAAGTACAAGAGAGATTTTTAACTAGTGACGGTTTGGTTCCAGCTAAAGTTTAGCTACTGAACTTTAGTTACTTTAGCTACTAAGAATATGTTTGGTTCTCCTACTACTAAACTGTAGTCACTTTAGCTACTAAACTGCCAAATAAACTGACTAAAAAAGAACTAAAATAGTTTAGTCACATTAATCATCCAAGAGTAGGCCCGTTCGCTTGAACTTGTCAGCCGACTTATCAGCTAGAATCTACAGTATTTTTCTCTCACAACAAATCAACCAAGATCGGTTTATCAGCCGGCTTTAATACCAGCCGAATCGGCCCTAAAAGTGGGCTAAAGTACCTAGTGGACAAGGGTTGCCCTTCATTATTGATGGTCCCTCACCCTGATTTGGGCATTCATTAGGGATAGTTTGGTCTTCGTTGAACTGCTTTAATGGTCTTTAGTCACTTTTAGTCACTAAAACCAAACAGGGGTAACTAAAGTTTGGTCATTGGTTTTAGTAGCTAAATTTTAGTCATGTGAAACCAAATAGGCCCTTAACTGCTAAACAAACTGACTAAAAAGGGACTAAAGTAGTTTAGTCACATTAATCACCCAAGAGTAGCTAAAAGTAGGCTAAAGTACCTAGTGGACAAAGGTTGCCCCTCATTATTGCTAGTACCTCATCTTGATTTGGGTATTCATTAGAGGTAGTTTGGTCTTTGTTGAACTACTTTAATGGTCTTTAGTCACTTTTAGTCACTAGAACCAAACATGGGTGACTAAAGTTTAGTCATTGGTTTTAGTAGCTAAATTGTAGTCATGGAAAACCAAACATACCCTTAACTGCCAAACAAACTAATTAAAAAGGAACTAAAGTAGTTTAGTCACATTAATCATCCAAAAGTAGCT